TATATATATATATATATATATATATATATATATATATATATATATATATGCATGCAGGCAGTAGCTTATTAAAAACTTGGTTTATATCACTTTGTATTTTTTTTAAAAAATGTTAGATATATTTATATTAATAAAATCAGCACATCAATATGAAATAAAATTGATGAATAAATGTCCTTATTATGAAGGGAATTGCCCCATGGCATATTTGAAGCATTATTTTCATATAATAATGTGAAAAATAATGCCTTTTATATTACTTAGCTTTTCTCAACCTGGGTTCTAAGGAGTCTTACTTATTCCATTAGAAGATACTATTTGTGTGTGTGTGTGTGTGTCTGTTTGTGTGTGTGTGTGTTTGTGTGTGTATATATATATCCTACATGTTAGCAAAGTCCCAAAGGAAATTAAATTGTACTTAAGATATGCAACTGAAAATCATGAAAAAGACAATGTTATGAATTAAAATAGGCATCCTTCCTCTCTCTTCGATAAATAAGGAATCCTGAAAAAAGACACGACTGATGAGAAACAAGCCATATGTAATTTTGGATTTCTTTTTTCATTAATAAACTAGTGTTATTTTTCTCATGTTTCTTAATGACAGTTATCACTCAAAAGAAAACAAATTAACGAGTCTTTTTTGATCATCAGAGAAGATCACCTATATAGACTCTATGGATTAAACAACATTAATTCAGTAAAGTTTTAGTGATGAGTGATTTAGCAAAAAGCTTCCTACTGGATGGCAGAACAAAGAACAGAAAATACTTAATCAACATTAAGAAAAACCAATGTCTGTCTGTCTGTCTGTCTGTCTGTATAGGAAAACATTTTTTTCTTGTGGAGGATCATATTTCTTCAGAGATGCCAGACTTTTTGAGGAATTGGCTCACTCTACTTTTTCATATCTGCCCATCAAGTTGGCCAAGAGAGACATGCCCAACTCCATTTATTAGGAATTATCATATGGCAGGACCCAGGAGGTGTGCTTTTCTACAACTCTGCCTGCCTCTAGACGCCATACTGAACATTTTGCAAAGATTTGAAGACGTGGCTGTTTTCCCAGGGACCAAGGACTATTTGACAACCCACCCCCTATTGCTGAATGGTGTTTTGACTGTTGGTTGGAAATGGTCACTTTCATATTTTTTTATGCAGCATATATTTATATTGTACTTTAATTGTTTTAGCCACCCAGAACCACATTATTGAGATGGGAATCCATATAAATCAGAATAAATAAATAAATAAATAAATAAATAAATACATACATACATACATACATACATACATACATACATACATACATAAACAAATTGTATACATGCTTGCATGTTTGAGTCTAGAGGGAAAACATGGCTGGACTAAAACCAATAGGGTCTGAAGCTATTTCTTTTTTTTTTTACACCACTCCCATCTCTCTGATTCCACAATATTTTATTTCATTCTTGCAATTTACCATTTTTTTCTCTGTATTTGCCACTTTCTTCTCCATCTGTTCAATGCCTTCCTTTCTGTCTATCTCATTGCCTGAAACTAGGTTGAGGTCTGCATGGAATGGAATCATAGGGAGCTTACATTTTACGATGTACATTATCAATGGCTGATGTAATGAAATTAGTCCATGGGAGTGGCAATATTTTAGAGGCCAACATTGTCCAGTGCATCTGACCAGAATCTAAGGCTGCTAGGTAAACCCATCTATTAATCACAGAGAGACCTACTTCTGAATGAACATGTTTAGAATTGTATTGCAAAGCAATCCTACTCTCTCTCTCGGTGGAGAGTAAACCCCACTGAGAAAAATAAAACTAAAGAAACTTCATCCTAACGAATTAAACTCGTTAGCCTATATGGAGTTGTTATAAAGAGCCTTCAATTAACTTAGGTGGTTACAAAGCCAGCAGCATGTATGAGCATTTTGCGCTCTGACATTTATTGTAGTAAAAAGAAGTTTAAATACAAAACTTTGAAAACTGAAGTATAGCATTTGCTAAAATAAAAAGCTAGAGAGGGACAGAGGAAGAAGTCTCAGTTATTGGCCATGCAGTTATTATTCAGTAGTAATTTTTTCCATATTACAGTGCACTTCAACAGTTAATTCCTTCCAATACTCTGTGCCATTTCAGTGCTACAACTGTGGCACTTCTATGCACAAGTGTCATTTATTTATTATCATTTTAATAAATAATGTACAATTAATGTACAATTATACATGTACAATTAAAACATTGTAACATCTGTTGGTATTTCATTGAAATAGCCTTGTCTACTTGCCAGTTCCTGCAGCACTGAAGTGGAAACATTGCACAGCCCTCATAATGTGATTTTGGAATGAGTTAAATTGGGCTAAAAGGTTTATTTGGGATTTCCAGGTAAGAAATGGTGAACTGAATATGGCTCTGTTAAAAGTGAAGCCAGTAACCGTGGTGGAAGGAAAAGCCAGTCTTCATAATTCCTCACTGGATAAGGAAAAGAAATTGCTCTATATAGTAGCTTCTCATGAGGAGACCATAAGATAGTAGTCTCTAGTGGGTTTAGAGCTCTGGGAAATGAGTGCATAGTGATATTTGCTCAAACCATGTTTTCTATCTTTTAAAGGGCATTGGGTCACATATTTCCTTTTCTAATCACTTTCAGAAATTGCCAATTGCCAATCAATCTCCAAGCTCACACACTACAAAAAGCTAGTGCAAATAATGATATAGTTATTCTATTACCACACACAAAAGACAGAAATCAGGAAGAAAAGGAGAGGCACATTCTACAGCTATCATTCTCAACCCAACATAGTGTCATTTATTAGGTACATTATGTTTGAATCAAATTTTATTTTGACAGATGATATTATATGTATTTAAAATTATTTCATAAATTAATATTCCAAGGCAATTGATAAGACTGTTATTTCCTAGATCTTTCTAATCAAATACAATGAGTTATGGCTCTAGGAATTATCTCAGATCTTCAGGGGAATGAAAGAACACAACATTCTTGAAAAGTTAATACTGAGGAAACATGAAAATTTCCTCAATGTTCTTTCTAAATCTGAGCTAGGATATGATAGCCAGTGTCAAGATTAGAACAAAAAGTAGTTCCAAATAAAATCTTAGTGTTCCATCTAGGGATAGAAGAATTGATTATTATTGTTTTCTCTCACTTTGGATTCAATAATTATGGTAAAGAGAGGCTGGTTTGTATTACTTGCAAAATAACTGTTCAAGATGAGGAGCCTGCTAAAAAGGCTTCATTTTACATAACCTAGATATGATTTATCTCACAGATCATCACTCATCCAGAACCATTTTTGGCACTTAATATGTAGATCATTAAATACTTCAACCGTCACAAACAATAGCATATTGAAATAGGAAATGGAATGGAGCAATCATGCTTTTCCTAATCTTGATGCCTGAGAAATGTGAGAATTTCAGTTCCAAGAATTTCTCAACCAGCACAGCCATTAGTGAGAATTCTAGGAGTTGGTCTACATATCTAAAAGTTGGAGATTAGATTATGCAGAAACCCAAAATACATCGCGATATATCTTCAATCAATGTCCATATACACGAATTAGCCCCCATAGTTTCACATCTTGTTTATAAATAACCTAAGGGCAATTAAGAAAACAAAGGCAAAATTAAAGTCTGCCAGAAGTCAATACAGGACTAATGAAATCATACAGTTTTTAATAGAAGTCTCACCATCACCATGTACGGATGGTGTCATTTTAACATATCTCAAAAAGTATATTTACAGTTTCTTATGAACTTTGGCATATGTACTTTTCAAAATGCAGCAGATAATTCTAATTTCCAGGACTCCCTAGCTAAAGGATAAGCTTTGCCATCATCCTCCAGCTCAGAGGAGAAATATGTACTAGGCTTTCTGATAATATTCTAGACTGTGTTGGTTTCTGAGGGGTGAGATCTTTAAAATACTGTATCTTCTTCCTCTAAAGAAGCTATATCTCAAAGCTCTGTTTGGTGTCATTCTAAAGATGGAACTGAATTCTTTTTAATATTCATAACTGCTGGTCACCTTCATCTTGACCAGTAAAAAACAAAGCAAGAGTATGCTTCATTATATTTTCTAAGTTAGATCAGACCTAAGACAGGTCCAGTGATGTATGGATTCCATGAAACTCTGAACTGCTTTTTAATCAGAATGGTTTGCTGAGATTTCTAAATCTCTCAATTTAGTTTATTTGAGGTAATTAACACTACACCTTGAACTACACTCTACCTTGAGGAAGAAAGACAACTAAGCAATGGTGCAGTGGTATACTAAGAGTATCCCTAAGTTATCCTTATAAAACTATGATCCAGTTCATTTATATTGAAATCATAGTGACTGCCTACTTAATGGTAGATGATTATGATTTCAACTCTTCTCAAGATCACTGCTCTTCCTTGGTAGGTTACTCATGATAGCATGCCTGAGAAGCTTGATGAAGATGAATTGATAAAATATAAATCAGTGAACTTACGATCCCGTGGGACTTCAATGGCTCTGATGAGGTTATGAAGATATGAAGCGAGCACCACGACCATATAGGTTAGGAGATACCTTTGAATTACCATGTTGAATATTTGGCTAAGATTCTATGTCCTCAGTTTCCTCCAAGAAGGCAAAGTGGTGCCTTTACTGCTGAAGTATACCAAGGTGTTTTGAATTACTATAAAAAATAAAGAAAGAAGAATTAGTAATCTACTACTACATTAAAATTCATATATGCCTCATTTTCCCCCTAAATCTTTGCTGGAATGAGACAAACTAGAATAAATTACACAATCAGTTACTTTCTTGATCTAGGATAATTCAGATGACTACATCCAGTTATCTTTAATGTTCTTTTAAAAAAACTAAGCAGAGATAGGTATGTTTAGTATTTAAATTCATCAAATGTAGAGTTCTTAAACAATCCCTTCAGCCCAAGACATGTCATTTGTGTATAGAGGTACTGCACAGTACACAGTACAATTGGTCATTTTTTGAATAAATGAAAATGATATCACTCATGTTAATAGGAAAGAGTAAGGAAGAATCATTTTTGTGGAAGTCTGTGCACACTAATTTCACTGGAGCTTTCTTTCAAAAATTCCATGAACTTATCCCATCTACCATCCCTGCTAGTATCCCACTGTTAAAGTATTAGTATTTCTTTGAAAAAAATGAGTATTATTACCAGTAGCAAGAATAAGCAAGAAGAAATGATCTCAAATAACACCTCTGTAGTTCTTGCAAGTATGCAGTTTAACTCTTTGTGCAAGCAAATTATCTTTTCCTGCACTGATTTTTCTTCAAAGCTAGTATGTCCCTAAAAATGCCAATGCAAGTGAACTAGTTCACTTCCCTTTCTTAATTGATTAGAATCTTCTAGTCAGCTGGCAATTGCTGTCTGAAACTGATCAGACCTTAATGAGTTTCAAACTGAAGGCTTTTAGTGTCCTAAATACTGTATAGGTTGGAAAATAATATTATTACCATTTATTACATTATATTTGTGAATGGTCACTATACAAGGCAGCTGCTAAATGAGGACTACTTGTAAATGGGAACAGGTTTCAATGGCCAAACAGATACTAGCAGAAGATTATTCCCCATGTTTTTCTCCATTCTTTTCCAATTTCCAGAACTGCTTCACTTTGTTATTTAAGAACAAGAATGCTACCTCTGCAAATATTTCACCCCCAGGAATCAACTTGTTGATTGCTTGGGATGCAGCATACAGGATAGGCAACAATAATTAGTATGCTGCTTGAGGTCTGAGAAGTACTGAAAGAAAGCTCTTTTGCTGGATGAAACAAATGTTGCCAACTTATTTGTGGAAACATTAACATTAAATTAGGTCCAAATGCAGACTCTCTAAAACAGAGAAATTTAAGTGCTGCCAGCTGCACCGGCATCTTCTTATAAGCAGGCAATTCACCATTTTCCTAAGAGTAATTTGCTGCCATGCTTGTGCGAGTGGGTAGTTTGTACTCAGGAGACACACAAAGTGCTATTTGCCCACAGTTGACATCAAATCAGAACACAGCCCACACTGTCCCGACCTTTACTGTTCCTGAGTCTGAAATTCTACCCACAACCTTAGTAATGCAAAGATGCTGATAGTGCAATTGATTCAAAAAAGCACACATCATAACCAGTACCAAGAACCCTTTTCATAATCATTAAGATGCTGCTCAGGAGAGGCATGACCTGGCATGCAGACAAGTTTCAAGGAAAAAGCATCTCGATGCAGCAGGTTCTGGATGCAAACTTCAGGTGGAAAACTGGAAACCTTTTAAATGTGTGCTAAATATAAAATGCACAGTCAATTTCTTCTATGGGTAAATAACAGGCCTATTTAAACTATATCCTGACAGAAGTATCTTCAGTGCAGACAAATACCTGCCAGAAAACCTTGGAAAAGCCTTGGCATACCAGTTCCACTACTTTGAAGGGTGGATCCAATGTATATTGCCTCTTTGGATATCTTGCATAGGTTTCTTTGGCCTATCAGGTAGGCTAGATTAAGAAATCAATGGCATATTCACCAGTGTTATTGAAATAGAATCTTGCAATCTGAATGTATTCCTCCCCCCATCTAACACTATCTTAATTTGAACAGAAGGGATTGGAGGCATTTGTTCATTAATGCTACATATTTTATGCTACATCTGTGAACTTGATGGAAATTCCTCCCTCCCCCCCCCCCCTTGGATGAATTTCTAGCAAAACAAGCTGCAATTTCATCTCCATTAAAAGGTGATTAAAAACCAACATTTCCCCCACCTGAAATAATCTCTCAATATATTATCAAAATAATTGTGAAGATTGCCCGCAAAGAGCTATAACTTGCAATGGTTTTTTTTTTAAGTATAACCAAATGTATATATTCTGAAATGTGGTGGAATGTAGCCTGGATTCCTAGGAGAGAGGGACTGATTCCAGGGGACCAAGAGACAGTAAAGTTTAGATAATTTGGGTTGGAGGAAAGAGATTTAAGATTACTCCTCCCTAGCAATTTTCACAGTATATCTTTGATGGTGCAAGTAGTTTGGCAAGATTTCTGTCTATAGGTGAGGAAGTATAAAGGAAATTGCTTGGAAACAACTTTATGTATCTTTCTTGGTTCTTGGGGCCTGGCAGTAAACTTTGTTTGATGCTGTTTTGCAGGTTTTTTATAATCACCATAGTTCTATGTACCAATAAAGATACTTCACTGAATCTCTCCAATCATTCTTGTCCCTAATGTAAAGTATTCCTCTAGCACATTTTTCAAAACAAACACTTCCTATATGATTAAAACGTACTGTGGATTAAATTGCCTCCTTCAAGAGATGCAGCATTATTCTACCAATTCTGAAAGGAAAAGGATGGTTTTGTGACACAGAGAAAAGATGGAAGGAATAAGCTACATCACTGCATTCCAGATGTTCTTATGATTGTAAGCCAATGTAGCAATGCAGGACAAATGGAAAGGCAAATGCTACATTTTAGTTAAAATGATTTTGTGTACTGCAGGACAATTAAAAAGTAAGTTTTCTACTGTATTGTTCATCTATCTTGTTTCTAAGTAAACAAGGATCATTTTTAATTACAATACGTTGAATTTGTTCCTAGGTAGAAACCATTTAAATAATACATTCAAGTTTCCACAGGCTGAGAAATTCTCTATTCTCCAACATTTGATATGATCTGGGAAACCGGATGGGTTGGGGAGACACCTAATGCCATATAGTTCATGGCAAATTATATTTAGCTTTGAATTAATTCATTTCCAGGATCTGTGTGAATAATTAACATGCTATTAAAAAAGAATCTAAAAGTAATTTCATCTCATCTGGGTACTAATTATAGTTCCAAAGCAAAAAATCAACACACCAGAAAAATAGATACTAAAATAACAACCAGCTGAATGAATGTATTTTTTTTCCAGATGCAGATGGTGAAGCTGGAAATACTAACTGGATTCCTTTATTCTTATAATCAAAGCTTTCCTTGTCACAGTTAATATAAATTAACTATGGCTATCATTAGAGAACAAGATCTATAAAAAGTCTAAAAATATTAAGCCACAATTACATAAAGATACATATGTAAGGTAGGAGCAAACTTAGGCAGACAATGTCCCATGGAACTAAACACTATATTTCAGATGAACATAAATCACAAATTATTGTAAGGATCACAAAAGGAGATGCTACCAGAAAAAAAGGGTAAAATGGAATGAAGGAAGGAAAGAAAGAATGAATGAATAAGGGCTATCATACCTAGGCTGAAAAAGATCCATATAACAATTAGACAGCAGCACAGAGACATAGAAAACTTTACTTCATCTCCACCAAGTGATCAACTGAATTTCCATAGCCAGGATGTGACTGACATCAAAGAAATAGTAAATAATTACATTTCCATAATTTGCTTTAAGTATTTAGGAATAGTCACACATGCCATTAGCTTGAGGAAGTCCACTGTGATATGCTGTTGCCACTGAATTAAAATCTGCCAGTGCCATCCTCAAATTTTTCTGCACCAAGGGAAGATATTATATTCCAGCTGCACTTAAGCTCTTTCAGGCTATGCTGCTAGCCCATCTCCCTATGGAGCTCAGGCTGGGCCTCTACCTTCTCGTTCCATCTTTTTGGAGAGAGTACAATCTAAATTCATCAGAGCAGCTAGCTGCACATCTCATTATGTCCCAAAGGCACATCTACTATGTTGGAGACAGGTATGGTAGAAGTTGAGTCAAGAGTGTGTCTAACTTCCCCTGAAATGAGAGATTATATATGTATTAGAATGAAAATGTTGGTCAAAAATAATTGTATAAAACTAGCACTGTTTAAGTAGCATATATGCTATTTATCTTGCACTTTAGTTTCTATGGCGGATGAAACGCTAGGGCGGTCACACTGTGTTCTTATTTGTAAATAATAAAAAATATATTTTTTAAAAAGAGTGTGTCTAACTTCTATAAGTCTTTAATTAAAACTGAACTTTGATCCTCAAGGCTTAGTAGCATTAATTCTTCTGGACAATTTTCAACCCATATGAATAAAGGCTGTTGAATCTAATATTTTAAATTTAAGCTACTTTCCCTCCTCAATTCTTATGATGAAATGCGATCAGGTGAAATAAACCCCAAAGGAAAAGATAAAAGATATAGAGCAGCAAGCAGATCTAAGGAAGGCTCTAGACATCCTGTCACCAGTATACAACTGATACACTGTCATTAAAACACCCAGCCATTGGAAAGCTTTCTCTCTTAAACTTTAATTTGTTTATTATGTATTAAGATTGTGTGCGTGCGTATGTGTTGATTCATAGGGCATTCTACTTGCACTAGTTTTGACCATAGTAAACTGAATTTATAATGAAATAAATAATAAATAAACAATAAATAAATAAATATAAAAGAACTAAAAAAACTAGGAAAGGAAAAAATCAGCTTAATAACTAGTTTATTAATAAATATCCTATGCTACTATAACATTATCAGTAAAATATTATTGAAAACAATAAAATCTCTGAATATATTGCTACATCCTTTGATTAGTGAAAAATACTGCTTTTTCAAAAAAATCACACTTTTTTGACAATCTGAAATAATATCACACTGGCAATTTTGCAATGTGATTCTTTTAGATTCCCACAGGAAAGTCACAGGTTGTGAGATTGAGGATATTGAGCAGCTGAGCGAATTTAGATTTAAAAAACGGAGGAACAACCAAGAATTACTATTTGGTGGGGCAGTGGTCCTACAGGCCATCAAGCCAAGTAGAATATAATTATTAATATGACTAAACATGAATATAATGATAAATTATTAACCAATTTATAAATTAACCAATTTTGTTATATTTAAGTACAATGACAATAAAGATTATACTTATATGAACATGAACAATACCTTCCTGGAGAATATTATAAAACTTTCAGGGAATAGATATATAGTAATAATGTGGCAATTTAATTACCCAGATATTCACAGTCATCTTGCAGGCTTTCTTATTTTCTAGAAAGTTGAAAAGAGACAAATGGATAGACTGTTCCAGATCTGAAACTATGCAATAACAAAACTATATTAAGAGACAAAAGCAGTGTGAATTTTATGAAGAAGTAATTGTGGGATTCAAGGTACTACAGAAAAAGAAACTGAAGGATGGACCATATACACATATTTTAGGAGAACCCATTTAACAAACTTTAAAGTACTAATGAGATTCCACAGGCAGAAATTGTCAGATCAATGAAATAGCAGGAAAGTTGAAAATGTCTTCAAGAAGGATGCTGGAAGTATAAATTCATAACTTTTCAACACACACACACACACAAATGGAAGCAGGGCAGGAATCTACCTGATCTGCATAAACTGCTTTTAACTGAGCAAAGAATGAGAAGGGGCATACTGTGTTTCCCTGAAAATAAGTCAGGGTCTTATTTTCTTTTGACTCCCGAAATAAGCACTTGGCCTTATTTTCGGGGAGGTCTTATTATTTTTGAGATGCAGGAGACGGCGAGTGTGGTCACCTCATGGCTGCTGCTATGTTGCAATATTTTCGGGGACGGCTTATTTTAGCACATGCGCTCAAAAGCCCAATTGGGCTTATTATCTGGGGAGGTCTTATTTTCAGGGAAATGGTATAGAAGAACTGATTTAATCACAAAGTTATTATCTGCAGGAAAAAAAGATAGAATGCTAAAGAAATTTAGGCTTGGGGTAGAAATTAAAAGCAAAAGGTTAGGGGTGGCTCTGCCAACAGAGAAATCACAACAGGGAATGGGCCTTTTACTATGAGATAATGATAGGATAGTATTGAATTTTTACTATAACTCATTTGTAAAAATAACGAAAAACATATGGGATAAAAGACGTGATATACCGCATTTGGAAATCAAAGTAACAGAAAAGTTCCCAGCATATTAGAACTTCTCGGGCCTGTTCTGTATTCTGTTTATTGAATCAAGAAAAATTCCAGAATCTTCCTAAACGTCAAATTGCTGCATTAGTTCCTACTTCCATTTTATATTGTTCATAAATCTTCTTGTGTCAGATCTAGGGAAGCTAGCCAGATTTTTGCAATAGTTGGCCCCAGGCATCGTGGCAATGGAAATGCCAGAATATCAACCAGAACTAGGTTGGGAATCACACTCTACCCAAGGGCTCAAATTGCTAAAAAATCTTGATAGATTAGTAGTATACAAAATGGAATTAATTGATAAATGTGATGGTCTGACCTAAAACTATCTATATGGTTACTGTCTAGCCAAAATTAAGAATAGCTTTGGGAGATGTACTGAATGGATGGCACATATTGCTTCAGAGACAAAATATGTAGTCACAGCTTACATCAACAATCACGATGGAGCATGTCTATAGAAGAAAACCTATTGGTAAGATGAGGAGTATGTATGAACATGCAGCCCATATACAGGTAGTATTTGACTTATGACCACAATTCAGCTCAAAATTTCTGTTACTAAGTGAGACAGTGGTTAAGTGAACTTTGCCCCCTTTTACAACCTATCTTGCCCCAGTTGCTAAGTAAATCACTGCAGTTGTTAAGGTAATAACAAGGTGTTAAGTGAATCTGGCTTCCCCTTTGCTTATCAGAACGTCGCAAAAAGTGATCACAGGATCCCGGGACACGACAACCATCATAAATATTAGTCAATTGCCAAGCATCCGAATTTGATCACATGACCATGGAGATGCTGCAAGTGTGAAAAATGGTCCCAAGAAATTTTTTTCAGTGCCATTATAACTTCAAACAGTCATTAAACAAACTGTTGTAAGTCAAAAACTACCTGTATAAAGAGCTCTCTGATATCTTTGCAAATAGTGGGGGGTGGGGAGCAAAGGGAAGATGGATATGGATAGGAGAGCACCTGAATATCTTCTTGACAAATTTAGAGAAATTAAGTATCTTGTAGCAGAGAAGAGTTTTAATCAGCTATTGAAAGCTATCAGGACATTTTAGGTAACAATTAAGCATTTAATCTTTATTTACATTTGCAGGAGGAACAATAAAATACCAGATGCTAATGTTCCCACAAAGACACTTTGTAAAGCTGCTTCATGGGTTTTATTCATATAATTACAAGTGATTGAACAACAAACATATTCCTGAAGGAGGTTCTTTACCACACTGTCAGTAATGAAGTACACTGTTAACTGTTTATATTACAAAGAAAATGAAAGATTTAAAGTGTCACTGGCAAGAAGAATCTTTCAAGCTCTACTAAACTTTGCCTATGTCATTCAGCTTCCTTCCCTCTCCACATTTTCCCATGATTCACAGATTTCTCCGTAACAATAATTTTGGGGAGGTTATTTATTTTGCTGCAAAGTCGTCACAGACATTTGAGTTTGACTATCTGATAATTCTCTTAATTTGCCCTCTATTGTGATAGCTTTTTAAAAACAGAACAAAAGATTTAAAAAATAAAAACTGTAAGATAGCTAAATAGATATAGATAGATAGATGAAAGATAGAGAGATATACACAGATAGATACAGATGTAGGTGTGTGTGTAATACAGAAATTTTCTTTATTATATATTCCTTTTTTATCAAACACACTTAATGGATGCATTGCTGAAAGCAATTAAACATTTCATCAATAACATATAAACTATTCAGGAAAAGTATATAATCTTCTAAGGAATTAACACTCTATTCCATCCTGTCAGAAGATGAATGGTATTTCCCTTTTATCCCTTAGAGTGTCAAATTATTATTTAGATGAACTATTTGCTTGGACTGATCATCCTAAGGCAGTCAGTTTCAGCTCAAAAAAATGTCAAGATTCCTATCAGTGTTTTCACAGAACCTTTTTGTATGTGGTAGGAATAATTCCCTTAAGGGTCAAGTTACATGGCCTGGGTATCTCCTTGTGGTGACTGCTGAAGAAGATAGAGGAGTCTCTGTAAATGATTGAAGCCGGGAAATGGGCTCCTTGTCAGTCAACAGGAGTGCTGATTTACCACCAGTTTACCAGATACTTAGGAGCCAAGGGCACAGCAGCACAGGGAAACAACAATCAACAATTTAATAACTGGCCATCAACACTCCAAACAACAACTAAAGGCTTATTCTATTCTATTCTATTCTATTCTATTCTATTCTATTCTATTCTATCTTAACCCCAACCCTATCCTATCCATCAAACCCTCTGTCCTGATTAAAAGGTCAGAAGAAGATAAAGTTCAGGAAATTATAGGTCCAAGTAAACAAGTTTAATTCATGCCTTTGAAAATGAAAATGTCAGATAAAAGAAATTTGAGTCCAAGGCAGAAATGCAATTTGAGAAAGTGTTTCGGGCTTGAACCTTCCTAGTTCTCTTGAAGAAAAAAGAATGAGAGGGGAAGGCACATTGAGACTTACAAGATTCTTTTACTATAACCTTAAGATAAAAGTGGTATTAACATGAATAACTTTGGCTTCACAGTCTAGTCACCTTTGAAGAGCTCAGACTGAAGAGATATGACTGACTTGAATGGTAGACAGATGTTATTTTGGCTTTGCCTGCTCTCTCTACATGCTGTGAAGGTCTTAAACAAGAAAGCCATAATGAATGCCCTAAATTACCTAGTGCATCAAGATAGCCTCTTCTTTTTCTTGAAGTTTTTAATGTTAGCAGAAATACTTTGCTTAGGAATTAGTCTTCTGATTTATATGGAAGGTATTTGATAAAAGAGTCATGATACTTATTTATGGTTGTGATATAATTACAATTACTTTATATTTTCAGCATGCAAAGTTTTATTTAAAATAAAATAATTGTATTTATTTCATGTAAGATTTTACATCCCGAATTTTAGTGCCCATTCATCACTGAAGACAGCTAGAGTGAAACCCAATAATTAAAAATGTAGTTTTCAAAGTTAATTTGCATTTATGTGCATGATTATGTGAATGAGAAACAAAGAGAAATAATAAAGACAGAAGAAACAGACATTGGATAAAGGCTGTTATTTGCTGAAATATATGATTCCTAAATACATTTTTTCTTAAGAATGACATAAAAGAAGGTGCAATTTTAAGTCCAATTATTTAGGTGTCATCATAGAAGAGACCTGTTTTTGTATTATCAAGTGATCTCCATTATATTGACATACACAAAAGAAATCTATGTATCAGATTTTATGATGCATGTGAGCTGTTGTGTTATGTTTAAAGATGTCCTGGACCTAAAATGTTTATGGAAGTTAACAAATATATATTTTTGAGCATTGATATCAAGTCTGCCATCTTTGGCTTGGCGCCTTGCTGGCATCCTGTATGGGGGGAAAATAAATGGGCAACAAACCTGTATTAGCATGTGCTGGAAAACAGAAAGGGGGGGAGAGTGACAGTTTGATTAAGAACAGAGAAACTCTAAACCAGTTTGTGCCAGGACTCAAGGTCATGCACCCTGAGAAGCAATGCAGATTACCCCAAACATCTTAACATTCTCAAAACGCCTAGGCAAATGTTCATTGGCTGGAGATGCACTGGTCATGGGAGGAGGGCTGGGATGAGGGAAAATATTTTGTATCCTTTTAGCATGGGACATTTAGTTCTAGCCTGACTTTACTGCAGCCAGCATCACTTCAACCAAATGGAGTTGAGGGTCTTTCTTTCCTAAGAGATCAGACTGGGGCAGGTCTGACAGAATATATTATATAGTCTATATAAGTGCAAGAACAAAATACAGTAGATATACTTAGACTTTTCTTAACTTTATACTTGTAAAGATTTCTAGTTGCTTTTTATTAACGTTTCATTAACTGATTTTAAACACTGAAAAGTTATAAAAATATATCAGAATCAGTGACACTTTTCTAAACATATAAACTAATGCCATATGTAAAAAAGTCCAAATATTAAATGACTTTATGCAGGAAATAATCTTAAAATTATTAAACATGAACTACAAGAATCAGGACAATTGCTAGATGTTTATATTTTTCTGTATTTTTGGTGCCATTTAGTGGTCCTCTAGATTTTTGTAGATTACATTTAGTAACTCT